TCTTGATCGTAGGTCTTCTGAGAGCTCTTTTCTGCGAGGCATGGTTCACATCAGACAGTGCTTCTTGAAACCAGTAAACCCAAAACAGGGTGTGTGTTTTTTAAGGGCAGGACAGCTGTCAGCAACACATCCAATATCATCACACTGATTGGAGTCAAGGTTGGCTCACTCCTGGCTCCAATTAGCTCTGGGAGAAGTCATTAAGCTAGGGCCTCACATACTTTTTCCTCCCTGCACTGTGAATGTTTACATGTTATGTGCAATTAAACCATGGCAACATCTAATGTTTGTGTAGTATTATGTTCAGCAGACTGTGTTCTTCTATTGTTGTGACTTAGATGACGTTCAGAACACATTTTATGCCCAATTCATGCAAAACTCCACGTAATCCCAAGGGGTTCACATACTTTTTCTTGCAACTGTAGATAGATAGATAGATAGATAGATAGATAGATAGATAGATAGATAGATAGATAGTGCTAGGCTCTCATGAATGAAAAGTGAGGGGATCCAGAAGATTTTCAGAGAGTAGAAAACTGGTCCTTCAATTTTTTTCTGGGATTTGTAACTTCTGGATCAGGGTCTGGAGTCTAGAGGCTTTGAAGAACTTTGGGAGAAAAGAAGCCTCTAACCTGGTGCCCAAGTTTTACTGTGGACCACCAGGCTGTATGTGCAAGTGTACAGAGGCTTTATAATTTTCTAGGGCCTAGCTATAGCTCAGTTCTCCACTTTCCCCAGGAGTCCATAAGTTTTCAAAAGAAGCAGCTAAAGGTGTGCATGTCTGCACAGTCCATGTGAAGTAACAGACGGAGGCCCTAAGCCTGATTTCCAAAGCTGCAGGAAAGTTACGAGACCCATGAGTAAGGTGCAGAGGCTGCACTGGAGCACAGCGGTGCTGTGAGTTGGTCTATGGAACCAGACCAAAGGCCTAGGCTTGAGGCTGGAGCAGCAGCAGCAAGAAAGAGCAAGGAGCTTTAAAGTGGAACTTCACCCTAAAGGGGAAGTTCTGCTTTATGTCCTCTTCCTCTCCTCCTCTACCACATTTGGCACATCATTTTTTTGATGGTTTTCACCCGCTTCCACTTCCACCTGGATAGCCTAGGCGATCCGAGCAGAGGTTTGCTCCCCCCATGCCCACAGCCTTCTGGAACAGAGGTCTGCGGCTCCATTCACAAAGCACAGTGCAGCTTGTGCATGTGCAGTGAGAATCCAGCTGTGAAGCCACTAGGAGTCACACCCGGATTCCCTTAGTAAACATGCCAGCAACGGGGACCCAAAGACCTGCAAAGAACCTGCCCAGGTAAAGATGGCACTGGATCCCTGTACAGATAAATGTCCTTTTAGTAAAAATTAGCAGCTACAGTATTTGTAGGTGCTGACTTTTACTTTTTTCAAACAGACTTAAGAACTCTTTAAGCAGATGGGATTTCAGATTTGACAAAAAAAATACCCATATATATTTACACCCAGCTTCTGCACAGAAGATGGTGAGGACATGGTCCTTCTGGAGAGATCCTTGGAATATTAAAGATGCCAAAACTCAAGAAAAGTTTTTTAGACTTTTATTTTTTTTTTCTTTCTAGGGTAAAGATCCTCTTTAAATTTGCTTTCTTTGTTTAGAAAGTAATTGTGGAAACCTCTGCGAGGTCAATTGTTTTGTTTCAACTTTACTTCAGTGTTAATAAAATTGGGCCAACTGGTCCTGAAACTGCATTTCCTGGTTTACATAAACTCACTGGAAAGCTTTACATTTTAGAAAAATCCCACGTATATTTAGATAGAGGAATATTAGACTCATTTGAATTCATTTGTGCAGGATTGGACTGATTTCTAATGTATCGAAGAAGCAGAAAAACTGGCTTGTCTTAGTAATTGCCCTATCTGCCTATTAAGATCTTTGTGGTCTGATGGACTTCCTTCTGCTTCCATTTCTTTTTAATGATTATTGACATAAATACTGTTTACATTGGCTGATGTCTTCCTGCTCCTCTACTTCTTGCTAGTACCTGCATGTAGGAGCGTCGTACAGGCCTGAATCTGAGCAGAGACTGCACAGGAAGAAAGGAAATTATGACCAGAAATAACATGTCAGAAGATTTCAAGGTGACCTTGTGAAATATGCAGCATGGCTCAGTAGATAAACACAAGAAAATGGGACATGGATTATATTTATATAGAGCTGGCTGTAATGCATTTCTCTGCTCTGTGAAGATGTTCAGCGATTATAATTATGCCTCAAATCATACTGAGCCTTAAGAGCTGAATCAATTAATACAGCCAAGTATGCAGTGTTCCTATGTACCTATAAGAAACGATTGGGACAGCTGAAAGTTTTGTAAATTATTGGCAATATTTTAGTGATCCAGCCACTCAACTTGTGTTCTATAGCAGCTTAGCACAAGGAGAGCAACAAACAACACTTTGCAGTGCCTGCAGTTCTTCAGACTGCGCCACTAGCACATCTCTGGGCTGTTTCCTGAACTATTTATTTATTACAGGCTATATATGCAGCACTTTACATATTATTCATTTACATCAGTCCCTGCCCTCAAGGAGCTTACACTTGAAGATCCCTATCTCATGGGTACACAAATACTAGGGTAATTTAGACAGGAGGCAATTAACTGTCTAAATTGGAGTTCCCACAGGAAACGCACAGGGAGAACATGTAACCTTCATGCAGGTAGAGTCCTGGCATATATTTGAACTGATGATCCCAGTGCAGCAAGGCAGAAGCACTAACCACTATTTGTGGTCTCCACTACACTGATGATGCTTGTCCTGAAGTCTTCTATAAACTCACCTCAGACCTCCCAATCCCATTCATCACCTGTTCCCCTGCTGCTTTAATTGCTGCTCTTACTTTCTAATATTCCCAGTACTTTTGGGTAGGATGAAGCATATAACCTGCCCTTCCACAATGCAGGATTTGGGGACTCAGTACCAACTTTATTGAACCAGCAGATGCAGAGGACATATTATTCAATGTGTTGTTGGCAATTGCCAATGATTACTATCAGGGGAGTGACAGGAAAGTTATTTACAGGCACCGTAGGAGTCTAGGACAGGGTGAGCTAGTGGTTTGGTAATTTTTTTTTTGTTTTGATATATTTTTTTAACATGTATAAAAAATAAACCTGTACAAAAATAAACATTTTCTATTAAAGTGTCACTAAAATCCACATTATTAAAAACTATTAGTAAATGCTGTATACTTACTTATTCACTATGGGATTCCTTTTCTGTATTCTGAAAAAAAAAAATTGGTTGATCCTCCTGTTCTCTGGCCCCCTCTCCTCCAGTTCCATTTCCCCGCTGCAGTTGGGAATTTTGCAGAGCAGTGTAGGCAGCTAGTGCACATGCTCAGTTTTCAGTGTATTTTCTACCCTGAGCATTCCTTCCTATCACATCTGAGCAGCCCATGTGATGTATACACAGTGGTAAATGACAGCCCCCTCCTCCTCCATGCCCACTAACCAGCTAAGCACAATGAGGGTGGTATATTACATCTTGATTGATGAAGGCTTCACCTCCCTGTTATACTAAGACATGGCCTGGAGGGGCGTGACACAGCCTGTGACAGACAGAAATCATCTCAAACCATGTTATTGTCCAAAAAAATAAAGATTTGATTTCAAATATATATTTGTATGGCAATTTCAAACTGTTTATTGATACTTATTTACTTAATTATTTATTCTTACTCTGTATCCAGAAGGCTGCTTTTTTTGTTTGTTTTTTTTACCATTATCAGCAGCAGAGGACTAGAAGCTCTTCCTGCCACTGTTTCCCGGCAGGCAGGCTCGGGTCATGTGACAGCTGCATATTGATTAGGAAAAAAGGTACATAGATGTCATCAACCACATACAGTAAGAGAAGGGAAATATAAATTAAACAGTGTGTATTTATTATCACTTTAATATGTAATGGAGCTCTGTGGCTACTTTTATAATTCTATAGATATTATAGTGAAAAAAAGTTATAGTTGAAAAAAGCAGATGTCCATGAGATTTAAAAGAGATTTTAGTTCAGAGAAAGAAGGGTGACAGTTTCATGTTTTGTTAAATGCTGAATAATATGTTGCTGCTTTACAGCACAGGTATTAAATAAATGATGATATCAACTTTATATTTGTATTAGCTAAGTGAGGTCAAAAATGTGAAAATGGAAATCCCAACCAAAAGTGATGAAAATACTTGCTAGGCACAGTGACCTTAAATCTCAAGTTGTTGGGAACTGGGAAGAGGATACTGAAGTTGGATCTGTGCTGCTCCAATATAAAGATAAACTATAAAGCTAGTATTTAGCTGGCTATACACATATATACAGTAGATTTGTTTCTGTTCAGCCTATAGGCTGAATGGAAAAAAATCTAACAGATTTTTTCATCCACATGGCTATTGTATTTTGACAGGCTACTGTCAAATTACCCAAACAGTGCCAACATCTGACTGCAGGCAGGCACTGTTTGGTCAACAATTTTCAATCAAAGGATGCTGGGCCAGAGGCAGCCAACAGGACCACCCACTGAGCAAACTTTGGTCAGTTCATCAGGAACTGGGTGAAATCTGTTCTCTGTGTGCCCAAAGTTTGCTTCATATCAAAAACATCTATAAAAAACGTTGGCCACATATATAATATATAAACTATATATGAATTAAAAAGGGACCTAAGCAAACTAAAGACATACTGGAAAGAAAACACAGATAGCATTATGTCCTGTGTCCTGCAGTTACAGGGCAGAAAAAAGCAACCACTGAGAGCATGGGGGACCAAGGAGATCAACACTCCCAACAGTGACAATTTCCTAATTTTCGATTGGATTTTGTGGGGCAATTTCAAAGGATCAGAATTGTGTTTGGCAGTGCAGGCAGCAGGGAAGGTAAGAATTCACTGTTTTTTTGCATATTTAGAATTAAATTGCATGTCATGCCAGAACCATTTTCCTGTATAACAGCATTCCAATAAGACCTTAGTGTTACTAAACCCAGGACCCTGCATTCACTATATCTGGTCTACCACAGTACACATAACACAGAAGTGCAAATATTTTAGTAAATATAAACTATTAAATACCTTTTTACTAGTTAAAGCTTGTAGGAGGAATTTTCATTCTGTTTTAGGAGGCTGCATAACCCCTGACCCTCTGTCTGGACAATGCTGATTGGCCCAGTGCTGATAACATGCACTCTCCCAAGAAAAAAAAACCTCTCTAGCAATACACACCAAACTGAACATGTGCAGAGTGACTCCACACTATATGTCTTATCAAATGATAAGAGGGGGACACTGGAAGAAGGGGAGGATCAGAGAAGTCAGGATCAAACAGCATTTTTATACAATGCAAAGGATTAACCCCTTAGGTACCACAGTTACTGTATGTGTTACTGCATATACAGACTGATTTTACTGCTGAGGGTTTAGTAACATTTTAAAGCTAACCTCCAGACAGGTATAAAAGACACAAATTAAAGTAAACCTAAACTCAAAAAGTGATGCTTGCTATGTTATACAGAAATTCTAGAAGTTCTCATTGTGCCTAAGCAGCGCCTTGAAAAATGTGCTCTTTGTCTTGAATTTCTCCTGAAAAATAGCACTGGACATCTTGGCATATGGGGGTTGTCTAGAGCCTCCTGTGCTTTGAGCCTCACCAATATGTGCTGTGTAAAATTTGGAGCACTGCTGCCTTTGACCGATAGTCCCAGGAGACTTGGAGTGATATTTGGTGATGTTACTTTTGTGCTACTCACTGTTCTCCTTGCTGTAGGCTCTGACACGAGGAAGCAAAACCCCGTCTCTACCAAGATGGCCACCACCACACAGAGACACAGTGCAGAACAAAGCATGGTAAGTCAGTAATGGGGAAATATCAGCTGACAATTCTGGTGACTACTCCTTTGCCCTCTGCCTCCCTTTTGTGGGCATAACTTTCACAGTATATTTCCTCTTTATTGCAGCTCTTTATTCATACAACAGTAAATGTATTTTTTTTAATGCAAGCAGTATAAGTACATACACTTGACTTGGTATCAGTCTCTTGCAGTCCCTTTACAGCAGAACTAAAATTGGGAGAGAGAAAAGTAGCACAAGAAGCAAAGTAGCTGTTCTGATTTGTTCATATGTGAGAGGGGGGAAAGCATGGTGACAGAGAGATGAGCTTATCAGTGTGCTACTTCTTCCAGTGTCCAATCACAGGCTCAGGGAGGAAGTTCTGTATTGGTTAAAGTGGAAATTCACCTAAAAAGGGATGTTTTACTGTATGTCCTTCTCCCTCTTTTGAAGTATTTTTTTTTAAGGGGGGGGGGGCTAGGGCGGGATACCTAGTTTTGACAGGTACCTGCTGTCACTTCTGCTAGAATCGCCTAGGCGATCCCAGTGGAAGTTCACACCCCTCCCTCCATGCCCACAACCTTCTGGGGACACGTCACAGATCCAAAAAGGTTGTAGGTCCATTCACAAAGCATAGTGCGACTACAACCAGCTTCTCACAGTAAATAGGGCAGCGCTGGGGACCTGAACATTAACGCAGAACTGACCTGGGTGAGGATAGCGCTGGATCCCTGGACAGATAAGTGTCTGTTTATTAAAAGTCAGTGGCTACAGTATTTTTAGCTTCTGATTTTAATTTTGTTTTCAGACGAAAGAACCTTTTTAACTGCAGCAAAGAAAAATGAGGTCTCTTCCCCTGCAAGACAAGTCTGTATGATTTTACTGAGCTGTGTAAATCTCAAAACTGGATGGACAGAAATACAGATCCTTTGCCAGCAAAAACAGCTCCCTTTTATGCTTTTAGTCTGTGAAGTTTGCGGTTTGCCTGGAGTTCATCTTGAAGGTGTTCCAGAGGGTGATCCTTCCCTGTATCAAGTTTTTGAAATATATTCGTATTGTTCAACACCTGAATACTAGGTACTTCCTGCTATTTTTGAAAGGTGAATCAAAATAAAAGAACATGATGCTTCAGTTCACTAGGAACTAGTCACAATAAGCCTCTTTCCTCAGCCATATCAAATGTTTCTCATGAGTAAGATTAAATAATGAGATAAAAATGTGTCTCTACAATTTGTAGCCAACAGGTGCACTTTAAAAGATTCTTCAGTAGTACTGCAAATCTTGCGTTCTATAGCTGGTGCATTTATGAGCATACAGAATAATCAGTGCCTGAGGATTAGATAGAGTAATGGGTAAATATTCCCATTTCTACAAAGCGGGAGGTGTGGGCACTGAGCTATGTGATAGTGGATGAAATTACAAACTTGCGCAGAGAGCCTAGGGCCAGAACCTCAGAGGACCCTGGATGACATTGACACATGGACATGGGCCGTCTGTGTGTTGACTGGTAATATTTAGGCTGTCATAAAACCATTCCCCAACCTGTCTTTTCAATGACAGGATAATGAGTGCGGCAAACGACATCAGATGCAATATGAAATGTCTGGTTTGTTTTACTGTTCTTGGCTTTCTGATTTCGTGATAGCTGAAGCCCTATTGCTTACTTCGACAAACTTCACTGATTCATTCAGAAGTCCCATGTATTAGCAGCTAAACAATAGCTTCTTGGATACTAGTACAGGGTTTGAGATGTCTTTACTATAGGATGTTAATGAGTAGTGATGCACCTGCATACTTCATACAGCTGGTCAATCTGCTCAAAACCAGAAGCCATGCCAGTCCCACCAACTGTCATGTTGAAATCTCCTAAGCCCTTACTTTTATAATTGCTATCCCTAACCTTCTAACAAAGGCTTCTGCTGACCTCCACAGCCAAACTTACTGAAAAAAAAATCTGCCATTGCAGAACTCATTTTTGAAGGTCCAGGTTTTAGGACTGCCATCCTGGTCCTTCGCTACTTTGTAAGTTGCGTCTGCAAGCACATCAGTTCAGTTCTCTTCACCACAGAGGCCTTACTTCTCAGAGAAGAACAGGCAAATGCTAAACCAAGAAAAATGTGGCTGAGAGGAAGAAATGGCTGTGCCCTTTTCCTAAGCATCAAGGCATGAAAGACTGAGTGGTTTGGGGTGGAGTGTGCACAGTGGAATACTGCTTGCAGCTGAACAACAGCATACCTGTTAGAACAGGGGTGTCCAAACTTTTGACTTTTCTGTGCCACAATGAAAGAAGAGGAATTGTCTTGAACCACACATAAAATACACTAACAATAAGGAAAGCTGATGAGCAGAAAAAGTCTGGCAGATCTGACATAGATAATGTACCTGAGTAGTAAAACTTAATTTGTAATATTTTTTATTATAAAATTAATAGAAAGCAACGTAAAACTAGTGTGATATTTGATAAACGAATGCATCAAATATCTGGTTTGTTGGATGTAGTAGCAATTCTCAGTGAATTCTCAACGTGCTCATCAGATATCTTTGTTCTAATTTTGCCTTTTGTGTGCTTCATCTTTGAAAATAGTTGCTCACAAATATAGGTACTGCCGAAAACTGATGTCACGAAGGCGTGATGGCAAAGAGTAGGATATATTTCTTTGGGTATATAAAACGTATTCAGTAAAACACAGTTAAATCATATTTGGCCACATGTGTTCACTAAGTGTAAATGCATTCTTACAAAAAAGCAACATTTTAAAGTAATTTTAGGATGTTGTGTTGGGCTGCATTCATACACATCTTGGGATGCATGAGACCCATGGGCCACAGGTTGGACACCCCTGTGTTAGAACTTTCAGAAGTGTGTGCCTTCGAGATGGACTGCAAGTGCTGTTAGTGTACAAGCTGTGAACCTGTGGTGCCTGTTGATGCTATATAGTCAAAGTAAAGTAGCAGTTTTGCTGAGAAGTACAATTCCCTCCAAATATATACATTTCAATGATTTTGGCAAATATTATTGTAGACCAGGAAGAAATGTTTTCTTTATCGGACAAAATGGAGTCATGCTTAGATTGTAATCTCTAACTAGCAGGGCCCTTTGATTCCTCCTGTAATAAATTGTATTGTAATTTTACTGTCTGCCCTCCTGTTGTAAAGCACTACATAAATGGATGGTGCTATATAACTCCTATATAATGATAATAATGCTTTAGAAGGATTTTTTTGCCTTTGCCTTTGGATCAACTGCTGGTTTAAGGATGCAGGTTTTTAATTTTGTCTTTTGGTCAAACTCGATACAAGTCTTTTTCAGCCTAATTGTTTTTTAATAATATTTTTTTCTGTGAAGTTAATAGGAGGGGGCAGTGCATTTCTCTCACCCCCCCCCCTTTATGTTAGCAGGCAAGTGTTGCTCCTTTCTCGGCATGTATTTTTCTATCATCATTCTCTTGTTAACCCATTGTATACAATCATTCATATATGAATTCTGCATCTGACACCAACTACACAACTAGGACAAAATAAATATTTGGCGCACTAAGAAAAAAAAACAGATGTATACTGTGATGGCTAGTATATTAACCACAGAAGTAAAGTCCTTAAAGTCCAAAGGTGGTTATGGGATATTTCAACAAATATGCCTCTTGACTCAGTGGCAGCAGATTCAAAAAGAGCTAGAAGAGACTGTGTGAACCATAAAAGACAGAGAAGCAGTGCCATCTAAGTGCAGCAATATAAGCAAATAATATATTTCCACAAAACTGGTAACTCACAATTGTAGTAGTCAAATGAGCGCTTGTCAAACTGGTGTCAGCTGCTGTGCAACTCCTAGTTGATCCCACTACAGACAAGTCTCCAAAGCACTGTCCTTGGCTGTGCTAGTGGTTCCCAGTACTTCTTGGTCAGTGTGGATCCTCAGGGCAGGAGAGAGAGATGTCAGCTCCAGGAACAGCAGCAGTAGGTGTGGCATGCAGTTGGAACATGCATGCTCCTTCATCAGGTCATAGAGGGGGCATATATTGGCAAATGATAGTGGTGGACTATAGAGCCCAGTCAACTCATGGAGAGACCCAACTGTCATCATAGGTTAGTACAAAAAACATATCATGCCTCCCTCTCTTAAACTAATTAGACTAAGCACTCTTAAATTAAAATACAATAAACATATAAGGAGGATATTAAGGGAAAATTATGTAAACTAGGCATGTATCTCACTGTGCACTATAAACATAGAGACCATAAGGGATCTGTATGAATAAATAGATATGTAAAAATAGAAAATGTTTGTACATAAAAAGGTGATTCCATATTATTGGAAGTGTATATACAAAAATTCCAGATGATAATAATAATGCTACCTATGCCAATGGGAAAATGAAAATTGAATGTAGAGCAAGATAAAATAAAGGATGAAAATAATAAGAACCTTGGAAGGATCGCCAGCTACTGGAAATATTAGGAAATGGATGTAACTATGTATAAGATGAAGTACTAGAGGTATCAAGTAAGTAGGTGTAATCCTAGAGTATATGGTAATCACTAGCCGACTCAAACAAAGCATATGATGTACAAACAAATATGTAACATGTGGATCAATTATAGTGCTGAGAGACAGACAGGAGGGGTTGTAGAACCCCCACATACATCTCCACCACTAAAAGACTGTCCGCTTGCCTCCCAGAAAAATGACAGTGTTCCCCAAACCTCTTCCTGAGGGTCTGGATATTATGGCCCACGTACAGCAAGCCTCATGGACAAGAGAGACAGTAGACTACATATTCAGATGAACAGATGTGAAACTCAGAGATGGGGTAAGTTTATTACCCTTTGTGGTGAAGTCTGTCTATGTCCATTTTATATCTCTCTGTTGAATAATGATATTCATCCATTTCCATGTGCAGAATTACAAAATATGGGATCAATCAAGTTTCAATGTTAGATTGAGGAAAGTACAGACTTTGGGGTATTATGTGCAAAATTCTGTAAAATTGAAGATATTGTCATAGCAGCCAACCAGAAATGGTGGGATAAATTCTTTTTACAACAGTATCTCAAATGTAACATCTCCCCCAGAAGCCTAAGGAACACATAAGTCTCCGCAATCTGTCCCGGAACCATGAACTGATAATCAAACCAGCTGATAAGGGTGGGGGCATTGTAGTTCAAAATAGAGCCAACTATCTTAAAGAATCCTCATGCTTACTATCTGACACTAGTACATACAAACGGCTTAGATGTGACCCATTACCACAGTTTAAAGAAGCGGTTGCTCTTGTAAAAAGAGCTTCTACAGAAGGTATAATTGACAAAAGTAAAACAGCTTTTATCCAAAAAGAATTTGACAAAAGACCATATTTCTACCATCTACTTAAGATTCATAAAGATGCTACTCATCCACCAGGGCGTCCCATCATAGCAGCCATGGAGAGTGATACCAGCTATTTTTTCGATTTATATTGACAAATATTTACAACCATTGGCCCAGGATCTTCCATCATACATTCATGATGGAATACACCTATTGGATATGCTTAAGAACTACACTTGGGAGCCCACATACCTATGGCTATCACTGGATGTGAACTCCCTCAATCCATACCATGAGGTTGGTTTGTCCCCAGCTCCCCATTAAGGATTGGCACCTTTGGGGAGCAGGTACCCGAATTTGACAGGTACCCGCTCCCTTAAGTGGAAGTTGTCCTCCCTCCCCATAGTCTTCTGTGACACGTGACAGATCCCAGAAGACTACGGGGCCATTCACAAAGTGCAGCACTTCTCGCGCATGTGCAGTGGGCACCCGGCTGTGAAACCACAAGCTGTCACAGCCGGGTGCCCACACTAAAGATGCCGGCGCCAGGGAGAGAAGACAGCCGGTGAAACCACCGGTGGTGAGGACACCGCTGGACTGAGGGACAGGTAAGTGGCTGTATTTTAAAAGTCAGCAGCTACAGTTTTTGCAGCTGCTGACTTTTTTTTTCTTTTTTTTTTTTCAGCTGGAACTCCACTTTAACCCTAGACAGGTGAATTTCATATTAGAAGCTACTGAATTTTGTTTGACCCACAGTTATTTTGAATTTAATGGAGATTACTTCTTACAGACTCAAGGCACAGCTATGGGGGCACATTTTGCCCCTAGCTATGTTGATATCACTATGAGTCTTTGGGAACATCAATCAATTTTGCAAGACAATCCTTATGCAGCCCATATAATCTTTTATGGGTGTTATATAGATGATCTTATTGTCATCTGGGATGGCTCGGCCACGTTAGTGGAGTCATTCATAGCACACTATAATAACAACATGGGGCTGTCCTTTACCTCAGTCTGTGAAGCAGAAAAACTGTCTTTTCTAGATTTGGAACTATGTCACGAAGGTAATATCATCTATGCCTATAATTACACCAGGCCCCTGGCAGGCAACTCTTAACTACACTTTCAGAGTTGCCACCATCCTCGTTGGGTACAAAACATACCAAAAAGCCAGTTTTGTCAGCTCAGTCACAATTGTACCCATCATACACACTATATTACCCATGGTAACTCTTTAAAAGACAAAATTCTTGTAGAAAGTTTACCTCAGCACACTATATCTCACTGATGGAGCCAAAGTAGATAGAAGCAAGACACCCACTTGTACTCTACAACCACTCAGGTTCACTACCCAGTTCCATACGCAGTTCAGAAATATGGAACATATATTACAAAAACACTGGTCCATACTGCTTGAGGATCCCCATCTGAAATCATCACTTACAGTCAAGCCCAAAGTTTCCTATAGACAGGCCCGAAAAAATTTAAAGTAAAATAGCCAAAGTAAGGTCAAAGGTATTCAGCCCCAGACAGGTCCTTCTTTAACCTTCTCTATCATCAAAGGCATGTATCAGTGCTGTAAACCCAGGTGTCTCACATGCAAGCATGTCCGACATGGACAGAGAGACTTCACCACGAAGGGTAAAACTTACCCCATTTCTGAGTTTCACACCTGTTCATCTGAATATATAGTCTACGGTCTCTCTTGTCCATGCGGCTTGCTGTACGTGGACCGTACTATCCAGACCCCCAGGAAGAGCTTTGGGGAACACCATCGTTTTGTCAAGGATGGCATTAACAAACACAGTGTCCCCAAGCACTTCCTGGAATTCCACCAAAAATCCTCTCAGGGTCTGATGGTCTGGGTCACTGAAGCCATATCCCATGACCTACCAACAATAGAACGTTTTAAATGTCTCTGTTAAACAGAGACATTTTGGATCTATACCTTGGACACTTTGGCCCATGGCGGACTAAATGAGGAACTTGAAGTCAGCACAGTTCTCTAAAATATTTTATGGATATGTCTCCTTGGCATTGCCACCATTGTTCTCCCTTTTTTAGGGAGGCAAGCTGGCAGTCTTTTAGTGGTGGAGTTGTAGGGGGTTCTACCGCCCCTCCTGTTTGCCTCTTGGCACTATAATTGATCCACATGTTACATGTTTGTTTGTACACCATATGCTCTGTTTGTGTGGGTTAGTGATTATCATATGCTCTACGATTACACCTACTTACTTGATACCTCTAGTGCTTCAGCTTATACATAGTTATATCCATTTCCTAATATTTCCGGTAGCTGGCCATCCTTCCAAGATTCGTATTATATTTCTATTCTTTATTTTCTCTTGCTCTACATTATTTTCATTTTCCCAAATTGCATAGGTAGCATTAATATTATAATCTAGAATTTTTGTATACACATTTTCAATAATATGGAATCATCTGTTTATGTACAAACATTTCTATTTTTACATATCTATTTATTTATTCATACAAGACCCATATGGTCTCTATGTTATAGTGCATAGTGAGATACACACCTAATTTGCATAATTTCAGTTAATTTACGATAATATCCTCCTCATATGTTTATTGTATTTTAATTTAAGAGCGTTTAGTCTAATTAGTTTAAGAGAGGGAGGCTTGATATATTTTTTGTACCAACCTATGATGACACTTGGGTCTCTCCATGAGTTGGCTGGGCTCTATAGTTCACCACTATCATTTGCCAATGTATGTCCCTACTATGTCCTGATAAAGGAGCATGCATGTTCCGAACATGTGCCATGCCTACTGCTGCTGTATCTGCAGCTGACATCATTCCCCCCTGCCCTGAGGATCCACACCAACCAGGAAGTACTGGGAACCACAAGCACAGCCAAGGACAGTGCTTTGGAGACATGCCTGCAGTTGGACCAGCCAGGAGTTACAATGCAGTTTGACAAGCACTCATTTGACTACTACTATTGTGAGTTGCCAATTTTGTGGAAATAAATTATTTGCTTATGTACTTAGATGGCTCTGCTTCTCTCTATTTTATTATATTTTACAAAACAACTAGGAGTCTGCATATTCCTTTATTATAGAGGTAAGTATAGACATAGGGGGTCTCTCACAAGAGAGTATGTATAGCATCTAGTTACACTATTCTGACTCAAAAGGGGCTTTTATATCTCAGAAACATTTTTTCTGATAATGTTGTTATCATATTTAATGGAACGTATACAAGAATTTGCTCCAGATAATCTATAGTATGTAAAAATGGTTATGTTATGTACATGGTGAAACACATTTTCTCTTGCACCTATTCTCATTTAAAGTATTACTAAACCCAGAACCCTGTATTTACTATATCAGGACTCCCACAGTATGCACAATGCAACTATTTTAGTAAACATAAACTGCTAAATACCTTTTCTTATCAGCAGTAAATAGCAGTCTTGTGACTTCTATCAGTGTCAAATTGAGCACTGGTAAAGCTTGAAGGAGGAGTTTTCATTCTCCTCTGACTGTCCTACGAAGCTGCATAACTCCTGACCCTCTGTCTGGACAATGCTGATTGGCCCTGTGCTGAGTACATGCACCCTCCCAAAGATTAAAAAAAAAAAAAACTCTCTAACCATACACACTAAACTGAGCATGTGCATAGTGATTCCTAGAGCTCTGTACTATCAGCAGATGGATTGGGGACAGTAGAAGAACTGGAGGATTAGAGAAGACAAGATCAAACAGCCTTTTTATACAATGTGGAGGATTAACCCCTTAGGTTCCACAGTGAGTATAACCAGCATGCTTTACTGCATATACAGGCTGATTGTACTCTTGTGGGTTTAGTAACACTTTAAGTGGTAAGTAACACTAACGTGTTGGCAAGGAATGGGTGTTTAATGGGGGACACATGCACTTCAATTTTATGTTTATCTATTTGATGTGCAATTAGATGAGAACAATCAAATCTACAAATAATCGCAGGGCCATAACTTACATTCTGATTGGTTTAGCCTCGATGTAGAATAGATTGGATCAAACTCATTGATTGGCTAGGGCGGAACATTATCGAACGGATTATGAGTTTACATGGAGGACACAGAGATGCAACTGATAACTTACATTCATAAGTTACGATCATATCATAACTGTTGCTCGAAATCCAATTCCCTGTGTGTAGCAAACTGATCCAATGGGTTGCCAACTATAGGTTGATTATTCCCATTGAAAGAGGTCGATCTGAAAATAAATCGGTAATGTATCGAAGAGTGTATGGAGACCAGAACAGGTAACTCAGGAGATGAATAGAATTAAGAATGGGTGGGTTATTTGACAAAAGGGAGAGTCTTTTGCCAGGAAGAACCAGTGCTGCTGGGGCACCAACTAAAGTAGACACCCTGAGGGTGCGTGTCCAGGAAAGAGTTGCTGTGTCAGCTCCTGGTGCCAAGACAGCTTTGAGAGTGTGACTAGAGGAGTTTGAGATTAGGACAAAGTGTGGGTCCAGGCCTGTCTGTGCTGAGAACAGACATGGGCCGGTGCCAGGTGGAACTTGAGCAGCAGTGAAAAACTGTCATCAGAGCCAAAAGGCTAAATATGGTTTTTGATGCATTAAGCAGAATCAAACCCTAGTAAGGTAAAAGGCTTTACATACTGTGTATATATGTTACATCTAAATAAACATGGTCAGGAAGCCCTTAAACATCAACTCTGGGAAAGTGTAAAATGATCTGCAGTGGGGCCATGCCTGCATGCAAGGTTTAATACCCTAGAGCATTCTTTTTCAACCAGGGTGCCATGGCAAAATATCTTAAAATTGCCCACAAATTGCATACAAGCCAGCAGGTGGATCAAGCCTGTCTTAAGTTACAGAATGCCAGAAGTTTTCACTGTGCACCATTACAACCTTCTAGCTTGTGTCCTAACAACCATCCTAACAACCGATGATGGACCAAAGGAGGATGTCTGGAACTTGCACAGCATCCTTGTTTGCTCCTCCACTGCCCCCCTACATCACTACTGGGACCACATTAGCTGAGTGAGAGAAAGAAACTGAGGAAGAAGAGAAACATTGGAATACTAGTCAGTACCAGTGTGCAAAGGTGTATTTGCATTGGAAGAATAAATCACCTCTAACATTGGGTGTCCTACATGTCTGAATGCTGCTGCATTATGTAAAACTATTAGTTTAGTTTTTCACATTTTAGAATGGGGTGCCTCAAAATTGTACATAATTTTAAAGGGTGCCTTGACTGGAAAAAGGTTGAGAAACACTGGCCTAGGGAAGAGGTGAAACAGATTTACTTACCTGATCCTCTGCTCCCCCGGCAGATGGCGCTCACCCACGTTCCACCAGTGGACTGTCCCTTGGTGTCTACACATCCAATGCAGGGCCCTGCTTTGGTCTTGATGACATCAGGACCATAGACCACTGGAGCATGGAGCAAAAAACCTGTGAAGACCAGTCTAGCTGAAGGGAGGAGCACAGGATAAGGTAAGTAAATCTTTTTGTTTGTTTGTTTGTTTGTTTCCCTAGATCAAAACAAGCAATGAACCCTTGCAGTGAAGACACAGCCCCACTGCAAGGGATATTTGTTTAGTTTCCAAGTTGGGCTTTAAAGTATAACTAATGCAGGCCATAGACTGGTCGTTTATCGGCCAAATTTTCGTCCGCACAAAAAAATCGGCCGATATTCACGCCGTTAGTGGGGCAATACCGTCGGCTGTTTTTTGTGGATCTTCTCGTTTCTTTTTATCGGTCATGCTGTAAAATCCACGAAAAACTGCCGTTTTTCGTAGACATTGGTGGCAGCATCGGCAACGGCAATGACCGATTTTTCGTTTATCGGCCAACAATTCGGCCGATAAACGGGCCGTCTATGGCCTGCATAAAGGCTACAATCTTTTTTTAAGTTTTGGACAGAGGGGCTATATGTGCTTCCGTTAAGGAGATTCCCCCTATTTGTCCTGTCGCTTTCATTGAAAGTGAAAGTAAAGAAAATCCCAAATTTTGGGATGTCCCAGAAAAGTAATAGAGGGGAAAGTTTCCTATGGGGACACTAGTTCTGGTAACTTGGGGATCCCCTACTAATTCCCTAATTTGCAGGGATTTCCTCTCACTTCCTGTTTGACTATGGGAAAGGGAGAAATCTTTGAAATGAGACAAATGAGACACAGGTGGCGAAAAGAAATTGACAGGGGTTATAGCCCTCCCTTGCTCTGTCCAAAATGGAAAAAAAAAAAAAAAGCTTTGTCTATCGTTCTAATTTAAATACACTCAGGTTATGTACACTGGTTTAAGACAATTTCTTAGACTTATGCTAACCTGCACATGAAGCGTTTTACCATGCAGGCTAACATCGTGTTGGCTCCAGGAAGGAAACAATACAATGCGTGTTTCAGCCTTTCTTTTTTTTTTTAACTTTATTTGAAGCCTCTCAGAGGGCATAGTTTCACTGAACAGCAGCATGGTGCATTGTGCTGCTGTGTGGTAACATGTGGTGCCATCCCGTGCAGTGCAGAAAAATGCAGACATGTAGAATTGTGGTGTGAACAAGGCACATAGAAAACAATTGTTTTCTATGTGCCTTAGTGGTGACCTGCATTTATCCAAGGTGAATTTTTTTTTGTATGTAGTAATTCTAATAGGACTTTGTGTTTAAAAAGGGGATCTTGTTTTCCGTTATGTCCCAGTACTAATTTAAAGCAGTACTCCAGCCAAAATGGGCAAAGTTTGAACAACTATTAAATTTCTGTTGCTGTATGTGTCCCTGTGGTCCTTGGGTTGAATTTTCCCAAGGACATTATCTTCTTTGAGTTTTTATGTTCTCACTGTGTTCGTATCGGTTTTCTCTGTTTACTCCAACACTCCAAAGACATGCTGGTAGGTGATTTGTCTCCTGTCCAAATTGTCACTAGTACGTGTTCAAATTGGCTGTGCAGATGTGTTATCACATTCTACATGCTGGGCCCAAACAATTAGGCAGGGTTGAGGAAAGGACCTAGCAGCCTACCTCATAAAAAAAATCAACAAAAAAAGTCTACAAAAAAGGCTTCCAAGCTAACCAGACAGCTGGCCACAGAAACACGGAGTTGGATATTGCTGAATGGATATGAACATGCATGTGACCCTGTGTATCAGGGGCGGACTGACCATTTGTAAACTCGGGCACTGCTCGAGGGCCCAGGGTCAGTAGGGGGCCCCATGAGATGCCCCTGGTACCTTTTTCATAGGCTTTTTTGAGTTTGGGCAAGGACACAGGGGCCCCATGATCCCCTATTGCCTGGGGGCCCCATGAGTTGTCAGTCCGCCCCTGCTGTGTATATAAATGTGCACAGCTTACACAGTGCTCCTCAGTGTATAAAAGTGTCAAGTTCAAAAGTAAAGCAAATCTAGTGGATGGATGGATGGATGGATGGATAAAGGATATGACAGACCCCTGCAGTTCCTGTGACAGACCTGGAAGGATCCATTCACATGGTAAGAAGAAAACAAAAACAGGGCACTGGGGTTAGTTGGATCAAACAATATTTATTGAATGCAGCATAGTTACAAGTTAATATCTTTGAAATCAGCCTAGAAGAACCAGTGGAAAGGCAACCAGCATTATGGACAGTCAAGTGGCAGCCGATTATGCAGCAGTGGTTGAAGTGTAACGCCAAAACAAGCCAGCAAGACGGGAAGACCTGGAAGCGGCTTGACAAAGAGGGCAGGGCCCCTGACATTAAGTAGAGCAGTAGCCGCTGGTCTGCTCGCCTTGCTGGCTTGTTGTGGCGCTACACTTACCACACCACTGCTGTATGATCGACCGCCACTTGACTGTCCATGCTGGTTCTTCCAGGCTTTTAAATATTTTAACTTGTAAGTGTGCTGCATTCAATAAATGGTGTTTCTTTGATCTTGCTAACCTCATCACCCAGTTTGTGTCCCTGTGTGTTGGGGATTTCCTCCTATTTGCTGTTGTGTCACTAGGAAAGAAAGAGAAAGGGGACATATAGCAGAGTGCCAAAGAGTCACACCTTTAATCAAGTTTTTATTCCAGTGCTCCCATTAGGGAGATTTCCCTTTGTTTCCTGTGTCAGTGACAGGAGTCATTTAACCACGACAGGAAGTGAGGGACACCCCAAAAGGATGTAAAAATAAATCCAGTAGACGTTCCACTCTATACTAACATATTAGTTTTGTCTGGAGTTTCATTTTTATATTAAATTTTCCCATGTGTTGTCACAGATAATAATTCCTATTATCAAAAAACACTTGTATAACTAGTGGCACACCATCCACTTCCATCTAAATACAAAGGTTATGGGCATCTAGTGCATCTCCTTTTCCTGCACCATTGTGTGCACTCACAGCACAGAGAGTCTGGAGAAATTCACACAGAAGTTCAATATAAAAAGGAAATGGTTCTATTTGTATGGCTCTTCATTTTTAGTGAACTGTCATTTTGTTTGTTGGATGACCTTTGCATTTGCTTTTTTATCCAGAAAACAAAAGAGTACATTAAGGATGTATTATGGAGTATGAAAACATTTTTTCAAATACTTTTATATAAAACATGGATGATTCAATATATGAGTAGTTCTTTGATTTGCATTCAGATGCCAAGTTTCTGCAAATGACATGACCAATGTAAGCATCTCTTGTAATAACTGGGCCGAGCCAAGGTCACCAAATTAGCAATAACAAGGGTTCTTGAGCATCAAACATGCTTGTTATCTCTTGCAGAGAAACTGAAATTCAGAAAAATATGTACAGTCAGTAAAGAAATGTTTATTTTTCTCACCATAATATAATGATCCTGAAAGCAGTAATAAAACCCAAAAACA